ATCTCAGCCACAGCAGCGACAGGAAAACTCTGGTATCCGCATTTAGGTGCCTGTTTTCGGTCACAAACAAAACGCCGAAAACACAAATAAGTTTACTTCCCCTTCACACCCTCCTTTCAGAGGCAGCTAGGTTGAGTTTTAACTGAAATAATACACGAAACGTAGCAGCAGTTAGCCGCACTTCCGGTGATTACAGTTCTACCACAGGTGAGACGCGAGGCCAAATCACAATTCCGCCATTATGGGGGTGCGTTCGATTTATTCTCCAGCCTGTGGAGTTTAGATAACTTGTGAGTGACTGTAGCACCACAACCACTTTTCTTATCATTGAATTAATTGAAACAGAGTTTTAACTGTTACATACATTAAGATATTGACTGTAAGGATTTATTATTTTAGTCTACATCCAGTTTCGCTTCTCTTTTATTTGTGATTTCCAGTAGCGGAAGAAGTATTCATATAATTTTTTTACTACCACATAAAAAAATACTGCATTCACAATTTTACTGAAATAAAAGTTATTGAAGGTTTTGGCATCAAAATGAGTATCAACATGACATTTTTGTATGAATAGATTATTGGGTCATTTGCATTTGATGTATGAATATAATCATTGCATTTATTATCTATGTATTTATTATTTTAATGACTTTATATTCTGCTGGGAAGTTTAATCAGTAATAATGATCATATTTAAAAACTTAATCTTAAAAGTAACTCATAACTATAGCTGTCAAATAAAAGTAGTGCCTCTGAAATGTAGAATAATATGGAAACAGATCAAGTACTGCAAAACTGTATGCATGCAAATATAGGCAACTTGTAGATTTAAAAACTTAAAGTACTATACATTGGATTATTGGATCACTTATACTGACGTGAAAAGATGTGTAGCACAGGTAGAGTCACATGACATGTATTTATATACACACACATCTATAGGCTATAGTATTCCATAAGGTGCAGGTCGTGGTGAAGCTGATTTTACTCAAGTAAGGTACAAGTACTTTAAAATTGTACATAAGTACAGTAGTTGAGTAAATATACTTAGTTACTTTCAAATACACAAATATTGAAAAACATGGCTTGCATGTGGCGGCAGAAAGATTTCTTTCAATGCATACAGAAAGGGCTATTAATGATAGAAATAATAATTATTATTCTGCATTACTGTCCCCATTAATTTACCCGACCACATCCTGTAACCACTCCTGCGTCAGTTCACTTCCTCTACACTCTGTGTCTCATTAAGCCAACCATCCAGCCCTTTAATAGCACACTGAGGGTAACAAGACATTTCTTACACTGGAAAAATTACATCAAACCCTTTCAATATTAAAGAGACATAGAATCGTTTTATTTTATCCCCAAAAGGTTGAAGATACACAACATGTCCTGCAGCTCTGTCTTTGTGCATTGAAGAAGTCGTAGGAAACAAATTAACGTTACTTTCTAAAGTACAATGCCCAGTGTTGTTTTGTGGGTCAAACTGCCCCGTGTGTCCACTTCATTCTTTTAATGAGGACGTCCCAGCAGCTCACTCCAAGTAATGAATGGTCTGTGTTTCATTTGTCTGAAAATGAAGATAATCTCTAAATTACACTGCCCATCAAAGTACAATGACCCCTGTTTTCCCTGGTTTTTATTTTTAGTGTTTGTGATCACTTCCAGAGGAACAGGATGAGGGGTTTTTTCTATATGTTAACAGATCAATAATGCCCTCTAGTGAGCAGTGTTGGAAAGTAACAATCTATTTACTCAACTTTGACATCCTTGTACTTTGGAGTATTTAAATTTTTATTACTTTATTTAATGGCCCAGTGTTAGTATCATTTTTTCTGATGTGATATTTACTACAGTCTGCTGGAGAGCCTGTTATCTCTTTATTCTCTTTACTATTTGTTACTGATTATTAATAAGTATTCTTTGCAGTTACATGAACACTGGGTAAAGTTAACCCAGTATTAAGTGAACCCAAACTAAGTCAATTTATAACCCAGCTCTACCTCAACTCAAACAATCAACCGAGCTGAAACCAACAAACTTTATTACATACTGCATGTCCTTTTTAGCATAATACATCAATTATCAACATCAGAATATATATGGCTCCGATTTCAAGGTACAGAAATCACTCAACAAAATACCCTGTTTGGACAAACAACCAATACAAAGTGCGCAAATAAAGTTGATTTCAAGTCAACTGCATCACATTACAGAACTGCTGTTGTGTCTTTAGAAAAACAAACAAACAAACAAATGAATTAAAGCTTACATTCAGAAACCTCGGGAGGGTCTGTATTTATCATGGGACAGTATTCATTATCTCCTCTGGTGCTTACTGAAGCAGTGACCCCATGCATCGTATTAAACTGGCACACATGCACGCGCACACACACACACACTCACACACACACACAGGCAACCATCCACACATACACATACAAACTTGAGTATAAATACTGTATATTTGGCACCATGTTTAGCATAGAACATAAAAAATACAACTTGCAAATACAACATTGTTATCATATGGAGGTAATATTTGATTTTGGCACATTACAAGAACAATAAAGGTTTAAAAAGTTCATGTAATCCTACTTATTACATGCATCAGTCTTCACTGAAAGGTTATTAAGTTAAGAATAGAAACCCACTTAACTGTATATAGCAAGAATTCCCTCAGCGTTTCTTAAAAATCCCCACCTCGCTCAGCCGGTTAGCTTCATGGAGAGCGTCTGACTGCAGAGATCCCCCATGTTATAGTGGTATCAAGCAGCGTACATGCCTAATGACAAGGAAAGCACCATATTTCAGAATGGTTGCAGTTCTTCAGCGCCATAATGAGCAATGTAAACAAATGGCAACGTATAAGTTGAGTATGGACTCTGTAAACCCTTAAAGCCAAGATGTCTTCAAAATCTAACTAAGACATAATCATATATTGCACTCTAGAAGAAATCCTAAGTCCTTACTGCACAAAGGGGTTGTCCTGGCCTGTTCAAACCATCACGACAAACAAAAAGCTGGTATATAGATATAGAATTAATAAGGTATTCAGTAATACTATGTTTATTATAACATCTCGTGTATATTAACATTGATATATAGATTATTTGAACATTATGATATGAAAGATACATATTTATAAATTGCTATGAATATAGGCGGGTGCCTCCGTTGAACAGACGCAGCGCCGGGTATAACATAATAACTATTCTATGATTACGTCATTTTCATCCCAAACAAATACAAATAAATGCTTCCACACGCACGGCTCACGGGAGCAAACCCGGTGTGAAACTCCATAGTGAATATGAATTGAAGCCTCCCATGCACAGAGAGGTTTCAATACAGGTCGGGACTGGTTTTCAAACAGGCCAGCGTGAACCTTAAAACCTCAGCATGCATGCTAAGTAAGCAGAACAGCAATCTCTGGTGGACACGTAGAGAAATGACAGAAACATCTCGATATATATTTATATATATATATATGTATATATACTGTAGGTTTTGTGTTCGATTTGTGGTGCCTTACTGGAAATATGTGAGCGCACACGACTAAAACACTTAAGTTTAAAGATTAAACTGGGGCCGCGTTGAACAATCTGCAATAAATAAAGTCAACAATGGCCCGTCGCCGACAACAACGCAATACAATTTCTTGTTTTCAGCCTCCCAGCGTCCACACATGTATATTTGCACCAACATATATATTAGATTCACATCAGTATTCTATCTTAGAGCAGCAGAAACACATACGCACTGTATACTGTATGGACAGAAAACAAGGAACGGACAATTCCTTCATTTCGTGGAATCTGTGTTGACCTCAATCTGTGGTGGGGCACAGTACTATGTGTTGAGATGTGAGCTAGTGAGCATATCCTGGGGGGGAAAACTCCAGCTGTGTGTGTGTGTGTGTGTGTGTGTGTGTCTGTCAGAGACCAAAAAACACACACACGTTAAGTTTTATGCCTCAGGCTTGACTTGGCAAGCTGCCCTGACTCCTTGGTAACTTCACTGTATCTTCCACAGATGTACCAAACCACCGATCAGAACCACCAACCCCTAACAGGAACAAATACGCAACACTAACTTTACATGTAAATAGCCTGGTTCCAAAAGACATGCAGGCAATGTCCACCATCACGGATGGCTAATTCACTAACAACTTTAACAACAAACCTTCAGAAAGCTCAATCGAGTTTTATACTCAAAACGCCAGCGAAATGCACTTTTGCGCGAATAAAATAAAATAAAATAATTGCCTGTAATCTTATTCATAACATAACTCCACGTTTGTCTATGCAAATTCACTCGACACTGGAATTGAGAAGCTCACAATATCCACAATCTGCAAGAAAAAAGCAAAAAACCGCATCAAGCCACGCTCTAACTCTAGTATAAGTCTACCGCCAGCTTTCTACAGTGACATCAGGATGAACTATCGTGAACTACCTGTAATCTACAACCCTGCTCTAACACAGTCTGCGTGTTCCGCAACATCCCAGAAACAGAGGATGCTATTCACTCCTTTCCCTCCGTCGTCACTCTGTATTTTGACACATCTGCTCCGCTCTGCACTGACCGCGCCGGTGCTCACCTCTGTGTCCTTCAACTGAAAGCTTATGTGCAAGAACTCAAGTGGCGTTTTATCACCGTGGGAGTGGTGCTGTGATGTCAAAAGGAAAGAAAAGAAAGAAAGAAAGAAAGAAAGAAAGAAAGAAAAAGAAGGGTTTTGCACCCTTAATGTACAGCAGTGACGGTGGTTCTCGCGAAGGGACCACCGGGTATGACAATGCCAGCGCCGCCTGGACTGAGCAAACTGCAGCCACATGCAGCATCCAGTCGCAGGCAGGTTTGTCTCCCTAAAGCTGCAGGGGACGTTAAGATGCCTGAACGGAGCCCTGAAAGGACCACGATTGAGCCAAAATGAAGCCGTAATGGTCGAAGAGCTGCCTGGTTGCCAAACTGGACCGCGCCCGCGCGAAGCCCGCCTAGAGGCCGGTGAGGTCCACGATCGCCTTGATGAAGATGGTGTCGTCGCGGATGTAAGAGTTCTTGGCGTCGAGCTTGGAGAGCGGGCAGAAGAGCGGACAGCCGCTGGCGATGTTCATCTCGCTCACGGGCCTCTGGAAGGAGGAGGAAGTGACGTCGGGTCGAAAGGCGTCGATGATGTGCTCCCTGTTGCTCTGGTCCAGCAGCATCAGAGTCACCTGGAGATAAGAAGGAGGGAGAGAGGTTTCATGGTTTCAACATGTGACCAGAGACGCAGGCTTTAAAACACATTTTGCATGAGACCAGTCCGGCTTCTCTTCCACATGACCGACGCAACGTTTGACAGGGCTGCAAATCCTGCGTACATGCCCCTGGTTGTCTTGACATGTGTTACCTTCTGGTTGAAGGGCCATTTGAGCAGGGCGTCGCTCAGTCCCCTCATCACCACAAAGAACAAGGACAAGTGGCTGCCGCGCCCCGTCCCATCTCCGTTCAGATAGATCCGCAGACACATCTTATAGCCGTACTTACTGGTGTAGAAGGCTGGAAGAGGAAGAGGAGTTCAGCGTCAGTCATGAGGATAACAGTCATTTAAACAGGCTGTTTAGACCAGGTCTCACTGTCCTCTGGTTTTTGACAAACACGGACCAATGAAGACCTCTTACCTGGTGAGAACATGGCGGGGGCTCGACCTGCGATGGCGTCCTGTCTCTTCTTGGCGAAATCAGAGATCCTCCAGACAAAGACACCGTCAAAGGTAGTGGCGGACATTTCCCTCAGCCGGCCCTCCATCTCAGCCACCGTCAGGTCCTTCAGCCCCACCGTCCTCTCCAGCTGTCGCACCTGGGAAATAAAACAAGGTCACACGTTTGTCATTTAATCCATTTTATATTCTCCACATAAAAACTGAACTGAATTTAAAAAAAGACGAGTATGATTTCATCAAGATTTGACTGAGACATGAGTCATGAGTCATGAGTCATGACCAGGTCTCCTTCCAGTCCCACCTTGTTACTCAGCGCCTCGATCTTGTCCTGGTCCAGTTTATGCTGACGGTTGCTGGCCTCCATGGTGGTGGCGAACCTCTCCACCTCTCTGTTCAGGACACACACCACATTTTCGAACGTGCCGGCTTTGACTTCCAGTTCGGTGCACCTGCGGCCCAGCTCGGCCACCTTGGTCTTCTCGCTGTGGAGCTGGAGCTCCAGCGCCGCTCCCACCGAGCTGGGCAAAGGCGTGAAGGAGGTAGACACGGAGAGAGTGGGAGCCAGGGTGGGAGGCGGAGGGAGAGGGGCTGATGTAGGAGGACCGGGGGGGCCGGAGCTGGAGGATGAGGAGGAGGCGGCGGCGGCGGCTCCCTGCACGGGAGGCCCAGAGGAGGTGGTGCTGAGCTGGGAGACTCTGGCCTCGAGCTCCCTGAGGGACTGTTGCAGTTCCACCAGTTTGTGTCCGGCCAGTTCCAGTCCCTGGGGCTGCAGGCCCTCCATGCTCACTTTCATGCCCATGATGTAGTGCAGCAGCAGGTTCAGGTGCTCGTAGGCGTAGGCGCGCTCATGGTCATGAATCTTTTCCTTCTCCACCTTCAGAGAGGGAGGCGACAGACTGAAGGTCAGAACTGGATTATTGTAGAGAAACAAATCCTGACCTCTGCTCTCAGATACAGTAAATACTGTATTTACTATATAAATACACAGTAAATACAGTATTTTTAGGACGTTTTTGTAATTTGTAAGTATTTCCTCTCTCTCCTCTGCTGATGCTTTTCAGACAATCTTTAATCTAAACGTGTGAAATTATAAAAATCAGGTTACTCACAGACATGTCACATCCCACGACATGAAATCGACACGGAGTTCTGAATTTGCTGCAGAACTTAATGTGGTCCACATACTGGAGAAACAACAACAACAACAACAACAACAAAAGGACATGATGTATAATTTTATATTTAAAAAAATCGTATAAATAATACTGCAGTTTGATGTAATGACAACATGAGGGACCAAGAGCTGCAGCTACATGACACTGCGTCCGTCTCGTCTGCATGTTCTTCGCACATTCACCTTCTCTCTGGGTATTTTCTTCTTGGCGCAGCCTTCACAGATCATCGGGTACTTGGGGCAGATCTCATCATGCGCCTGGGAGAGAAAAAAAAGAAGTGACAGTGTTTCTGTGAATGAAACACAAAGAGCTGCTGCGACACGCTGAGCGTCTCCAGTCGAGATAAATCATTTCCCACCTTGATGTTTTTGAAGTGAAATGGCTCCTTGCAGTACTTGCAGTTGAGCGTTCTCTCCGGGCACTCGCGCTCGTTGTGGCGCTCCTGTTCGTTGAAGCGAATTCGTTCTTTGCAGGAGGGGCAGGGGATGATCATGAACTCGCACTTCCCCTCGTGGTTCAGCTGTAGGGAGCAGAGTTTAAGCTGAGCTGCTGTAACTGTCTACACACACACACACACACACACACACACACACACACACACACACACACGGCGAGGCTGTGGAGCAGACAGTAAAAACAAAGCTTTACCTACTGATCAAACAACAGCGTTAAAGCGCTCACCTCGTACTCTTTGATGCTGCCTTTCCAAGTGCAACTTTCATTGACGCAAACAGCTGACAGGTTTTCAACTTCCCTCCGAACTGCGTTGTCAGGAAAAGCCTGAAAAAACAAGACGAGACAAAAGGGATCTGCTGTCACACTGAGTCTGAGCGGCGTTCGCCTCCTGTTCCATTGTATTGATTATTTATGTTGAGGAAATGCGTGTATTGAACATGTATTTGTTTATTTCTCCTTCCCTTGTCGGGGTGTGTGATCGGCTGAATTTGCTTCAGCGGCACAGACACAGTTTCATTGAATCTGAAAAGCACGAGTTCCACTGACACAAGCCAGGAAACAAGCTTTCCATCCTCTTTGCACATGTTTATAAGTTTAGTTTGAGCAGTTGTCTGCTTGTTGTCTCTTTTCAGACGGCACATCTGTATATTTGAGCTAACTGTGTGATATCATCAATTGTTTTGTTTGTGTGTTACTGTGTTTTTACTGTTGTTGTCTCTTCTTAGACGATACATCACAATCAACGCTTTTCAAAATAGTATTTTAATCTATTTTCATCATCTGCGCTGTGTTGTGGTTTTACAATAATGAAAACTGACTTACATTGTACATGTAAAAGCTATACAGCTATAAACATCATGTTCACGCTTTGTATTGGAACTATGTTAAACTGCATCGTCCCTATTAAATAAATGGAGAAATAAACTAAACTAAAAAAAAAGGGAAATGGAAATATTGTGTTTGATCCATGTTCACTGCTCCTCGTGATGTGGTGGAAACACAAACAGCAAAAAGGGACTTTTATTTTGTAGTTTAGTTCCTGTGGCCTGGAACTATTTTGTTAAAAAGGGGCTAAAAGAGAAGAAGTAAAGGATTATTTCCATTTTATGCCACTTTGTTTTTCTACTCCAGTAGATTTCAACGGAAAATATTGTACTTTTTATTCCACTACATTTATTTGATATAATTACTGGTTACTTATTTTCTTTGACAAAAGTTTTACATGTAAAAAGCAAAATGATACTGGTATAAAATACACAGCATTATTAAGATTAAACTGGCGGGTCCCAACGTTTGCAGATCGTTCCATTTAAACAACTGTTAAATTTTTAAAGTATACAAATATTAGAGAAAAGTAAAAAGAAAGAAAGAAACGCTAACTGTATACAAAGTTAGCACAGTAAAATGCTGTTTACATATTGATGCATCAGTATCAACTATTTCATAATATCATATATAAAAATAAACTGCATCAGTCACAGAGGATATTTTTCAAATTTTTCAAGTACTTTTACTTTGAAATCTAAATAATTTCACCGATAACACTTTTACTTTTACATGTAATGAAGTATTTGTACGTGATTATATTGGTACTTGTACTGAAGTACAGGATGTGAACACTTCTTCTACCACTGTGTCTGAGTGTGATGAGTTTCAGTTTCTGTGCTGAGAACATGTCCCGACAAACATCTGACATTATTATATATAGAAACAGATCGTCTGTTAGAGACATGAGACATCGAAATGAAAGCAGCTTTGTTTGTCCTGTGTTTCTTCATCAGTGTCTGTGGTTCCTGCAGGAAATGTGTTGCAGCGTCTTGGGGATCAGACGAATATTTTTATCATCTGAGAGCGTCAGATGAAGACGAGGAGGAGGAGGAGGAGTCTAACATCAGTGAGCAGCTCAAACACCACAGCAGGTCTCCAGAAATATATGCACTGTAAACACTTCAATGCATATTTAAATGTTAAATTTGTTGTAATTGTTTGCATTTTATTTTTTTAATTCCTTGTTTTACTGCACAAGTATATTGTCACTTTCTTTTTGAACAATATATATAAATAAATAAATTTTCATAATTTAGAGGAAAACACATATCAAAAAGTCCATTTTTCAAGATAAATCAAAAATATTTTTCTTTACTGGATAAAAATTCTTTCATACTCACACATCCTTGTTTCAGAATCGACGTGGGATCCTCAAAAATATCCTCTTTAATGCAGGCGTTGCATTTCTGGGGTCCACTACTGCAATAAAAGAAAAAGAATAATACACTGCACATCAAAAACATGCAAACATCAGACACCCAAAATCTGAAAGTATCTAAGTACATTTACTCAAGTATTGTACTTAAACACAGGTTTGAGGTACTTTACTTGAGGATTGTACCCTGATACTTTTCAGAGGGAAATGTTGCACTTTTTACAGCTTCAGTCACTTTTCATATTCGGATTATTAAAACAAAATAACACATAAATTATGATGTATTATTACAGATTAGGCCACGCAGCAGATTATAAAGTATTTACATAATTAAAGTACGTTAGACTTGAGATCAGGACTGGGACGCTGCAGCAGGACACACCCACATCCAGACGTCAGGGTCAAGGAGCGATTGACGACCATTTGTGGCTGCAGCCTTATTGTTTACATTATATTTGCATTATAATTTCATTTTTTTGGATCTGTACTGCGGTAGTTCTTTCACACCAACGTGTTGGATTTCTTCCGCCTATTTTGTTCAATGGATTAGCTTTTTGAAATCCCACACAAAGTCCGATCAGATCAAAGTAAACCTTTTATATAAGTGACAATGACCCTCAATCATAAATGTTTTTCTTAAAAATGATTCTGATCATTTTCTCTGTTAAAATGTTAAATTTAGTGTCAATGCATTTTGATTTTTAAGATAATACAGACACTAGATGCTGCTCTTTGTCTCTCCCTTGTGGTTAATACAAAAACTCCAGTGTTTCAACTTTTATTTTGAAAGTCGATGAACTGGATGACCCCTCATTCAGACTGACAAAAGTGAGCAGCTTTGAATATTGTAATCAAGAGAATCCCTGTTGCTCCTACAAACGTGGTTACACAGTTCTTCCTCCACGCTCAGATCGTCTGTTTACGCTCAAACCTCTCTCAAATCTTTTGTCCTCATTGTGTTTCCGTAGCTGCTCACCTCACTGTCCTGTTGAAGCAGTAGGAACAGAAGCGATGTCCACACTGGGCTTGAAATGGTCGTCTCAGTATGTTGTGGCAGCAGTTGCACAGGTGCTTGTCCTCCAGCTTGTTGCCCAGGATCTTCTTGGGGAAGCCGGGTTTATTGCTCTCCATGGACGAAGGAGGGGACGGTTCCTGTGTGGCCATGGTGTCTGTTCACACGTCACACCTGCGGGAAGAAACAACATGGAAAAGCGTTGGGTGATAAATTAGCTGTGGTGAGAACACTTTATTTCGTGGCTCCTGTATTTTCCGCCTAATTTCCTGGAAACTTTCCTCATGATTTCCTAAAATTAGAAAAAATTACAAAGGATATTAAGATTTTTTTGTTTGTCTTTCTCTGATGGACATACTAACACTTTCTCCATGTAACTCATATTTAAATTGCATAGGCCTTTTTTAGAAATATAATTTACAGCTAAATAGCTTTTCACAATTATGAGGAAATTAGCTGTAAAGCACAGAACCTGTAAAATATAACATTAGCAATATTTCCTGTTCAGTCTGACTGACAATCACAGCTGGATTAACCTGCCCCAGGGCAAAAACATTGCTGTTATTGCCCCCCCCCCCCGACTGTACATGTGCCACTTTCATTATTTCCTCTGGGACCCAGAAACCCACCAGTACAGTAAGAGCTGAAATAATTAGTTAATAATAATAATTAATTGATAGACATAAAATTAACTGGCATCAACTGCTTAATATAAAATTCTCAGGTAGCAGCTTCTGAAATGTTTCCTCAGTTTTCAATGATAGTAACTCAACATCTCCTGGTTTCTGAGCGAATGGTCGGACAAAAGAGAGAAAAATCTGAAATGTTAACTCCGGCTTCAGGGAATAATGGTGGACGTTTTTCTACTGTTTTCTGACCGGCAAAGGTTTGGGCACCCCATGACAAAGATGAGATATTTTGTTGATTTTTGAAGTGAAAAGAAGTAAATACAGAACCTGGGGGAGATACTGTGTCAACTGATTACTAAAGAAAGGTTCTTTATTTTACCTTCTACTATTATTCCTATAGCACTTTAAGCAATTTGATCTTTACAAAAATAACCACAAAGATTTGTTTTTAATGTTCCTATTTTTTTGCACATGTTGCATCACGTTGCATGAGATGTGCAAATTTTTAAAATAAAATTCTATACATTTATCTTTGTTTAGATATAAAGGGAACAATTTCTAATAAGGCTCCGTAGATGCATTCAACCTCAAGTCCTGCATTCAAAGTTTCACTTGAATTATTAGCATCAAATGTACTTTAAGTACCAAAAGCAGAACGACCCAATTCAGAGTAATGTTGTTAATTATTGATGCATTAATGTGTGACTAAAGGAGAGGCTAATTTACCTTTGTAGCATCGCTGTGATAATGCATCATTATCGATCTGTTCATAATAATATGAATCTGTAAAGTAACTAGTAACTGATGCTGTTGAATGAACGTAGTGGAGTAGGAGTCTATACAACAACAAACAACTACAACTTCAACTGCAACAGTTAAAGTCTGACACCAGGTTTTGAGTTCCTCCTAAAGACAAGATGGAGACAGAGCAGAGATCCTAGTTTACAAATGCAGACAGACACAGAACATTCATGTTGAGCAGAGCTGCGTATTGAACAGCTTCCTGTCGACACGTGTATTTGTTTATGTTTCTTTTCCCTGTCAGGATGTAAAATCAGCTGAATTCATGTCTGCACCACAGTTCAGTTTAGTTTCTGAGAAGAGTAAAAACCACGAGCACCGACGTTTATCCTGCATGTCGGCTTTTACACATCGTAGATTCATCCGCAGATTATTTTTTCTTGATTGAACAACTGATCGCAATGATCTATAAAATGTCAGAAAACTGTCTATACTCATCAATCAGCCGTCACGCAAACGTAGTGATTCGGAATCAGGAACTAGTGAAGGTTATAGTGAGTGAATATAACGGGCAGCTGCTGGTAATCCAGCTGTGCCGCCTTTAAAAACACACTGTCAGCCATCAAACATGACTGTATCATGAGTGTGAAACCTTCCTCCTCCTGTGATCAATGGTTCCTCTCTGTGAGGCTGAGCATCACAGGCCAGCAGCTGAAAGGCCCACACCCTTTGTTTACATTCCCACTCTGCATCCATGGCTCCTTGTGGTTGACTTGGCACAAACTGATGATGATGATGATGATGATGATGATGATGGTGGTGGTGGTGATGGTGGTGATGATGATGATGATGATGAAGCCTCTCCTTTCTAGTCCAACAATACCCGCTCAGCTAAGCCTACCCAGTAACGATGCTGACAAATCGCACATCCATTGTCTGTCCTCTGCTTCCTTCTCCTTCCTTGTTGCTAAGCTATCAGCATCCTCTAGTCAGGAGTGGTACCCAGCACCCAGCACGGCGCCACGCCCCTTTCAAACCTGAGGCTTCGCTGCCAGAGACAAACCGTTTACTGGAAAAACCCTTTTTCACAAACGCTGCCGTGTCGATCACTGGAGTTTTCACTTACCAGCGGTTTTTTTTTTTTTTTTTTTTTTTTTAAAGTCTAAACTGTCATCGCGCGCGGAGGTCTGTGAAATCACTTTTCCCGGGTCGCAGGTTGACGCTCGTGCGGTGTGCGGATGTCGCGCGCGGTTCTGCAGCCGACTGGAGGTGTTTTCTTCAGCGTTAGCCACATAATATAGACGTGGTCCCCAAAAAGCGACGGCTGTTATTGTCCAATATCGCCATTGCACTTTCCAGACTGGGTGTTACGTCATGCGGTGGGCCGGACGCGGGTTGATAGGCAGACGAGATGTGGAGGCGCGAATCTGATTGGTTCAAAATTCAAGAGTGGGCGGGGCCTTTGTGTAAGAGCACAATAAATCCTCCGGGCAACAACATTTTAGAATTTAAAGAGGAATTATCTATCTATCTATCTATCTATCTATCTATCTATCTATCTATCTATCTATCTATCTATCTATCTATCTATCTGTATTGGTCTCAGGTTTATTGCACTGTTGTTGATTTTTTCAATTTGCCTTTTATCTTATTTTTTCACTATATCCTCTTATTTCCATTATATATATTTTATTATACATTTTTTAATTATTATATATTTTGACTACTTGAGTGTAAACAATGTAAAATACTCTGCATTAAACTCCTGCTTAAGTCCGAGTGGAGAAGTATTATTCAAAGTATCTAAAGTAAAATGTTCCCAGTGACTGATGGATTATTGTATGTGACATTATTAGATCGTTGATACAGCTGCATCAAAGCGTGAGCAGCTGCAGCTGCAGCTCCAGGTGGAGCTGCTTTTAACTACTTTATATATTATTCAGTAGTTTACTCCAGTGGCTGTCAACCTAGGGGTCGGGGCCCCTCCAAAGGGTCACAAGATAAATCTGAGGGGTCGGAGAGACGATTAATGGGAGAGGAAAGAAGAAAAAAATTAATTCTGCAACACAATAAAGGATCATTTCAACTGTTCTTTTTTTGTTTTTGTTTTTAATGAACCCATCTGAGAAGTTAAGAGGAGAAACGTCTCTCTGAACTTTAAGATTTTACATGCAAAAGTTTATAAAACATGATGCAGTTATTGATTAAACTACCAAACAACTACTGGCAACTGGGATTCAAACACCTCTGTAACTTATAATTCTGATTAGGTTTAGTTGTTTGCCTCCATTTGTTTGAGTTTATGTCAGAACTGCTCTCAAGAAATAGAAATACTCTTGAAGATATGCATCAGAGCTTTTTATTTCACAACTGCGATGTAGTTATAAAGCGATGTAGAAAGGCACAGTGTGGGTTTACCACCGCTGAAAACACGAGCTTCTATTGCTCCTGAAACAAAATCAAAGTTACAGTGGAAATGTTCTCTGACGCTGACGAAGGGAAAAACAGGACATTTTAAATTAGTTGAAAATCTCTTCAGTTATACGAGCGAATAATCCTGTAATCTATAATCTATATGATTACAGACAGTTTTAGTCAAAAATCCATATTTACAATAAAAACACAGATTAAACCCAGATGTTTTACTCTCTTTTGCAGATGGATTCAACATGTTTTCACACTCATGTGCAGCCGAACTGTATTCACAAATATCACACACTATCAGTGAAAATTGGCTGTAAATGTAATTAAAAGACATCATACACACATCCCCTGCTGAGTGACTTATGTACATGACATAAATATAATTTATTGGCAATTTAATTCTAAGAAAAGAACATTAAACAGCACAAGTTGACCTTTTCTGACATGTTTGGAAAACAATGAAACAGGACCTTTGGACCTTAAGTAAAAATCCCACCATGGTGAAATGCAAAATAAATGCTCTCAGATAAATAGTACACACACGCTTCACTAACACTAACATGCTGCTTCAGTTTACCCTCCAGTTACCCTCCAGCACAACGTCTTGTCTAAAAAGAGCGATAAAATAGTCCTGAGTGGGAAAAGGGGGAAAGAAGTTCTTATTGCACGATTTCAGTTAAAAGTTCACACCAGCTGAAGAGAGCTGTCTTGAACGAGCTTTGGCGTCAGATCGCATCTGATCACTGCTGATCTGCACAGTTCAACCGACATAAATAATTGAAGATAAAGCTTCTGTCGGGACAGACCGACACACGACCGGCTGCGTTTAAGTCTCTTCAAGCAGCTTCCGGAGGTTTTCCTGAATCTAGGATGACAGAACATATCGGACATCTTTTAAAAAAAAAAAAAAAGCAAATTAAAAGTGTGGAGATGTTGATCAATGTTTTTATTGTAGTTTTTAAAAGGGATTTTTTCCACATTTTGGAAACATGTTTATTCACTTTCTTGCTGAGAGTCAGATGAGGACATGAGGCTCGTATTTTGGCGGGGGGCAGGGACTTCCTGGAGTCTTGTTGTCACTCGTTTTTGTGTGGATTAAACAAACAAGATAGATGACAGAGCCAGGCTAGCTGGTTCTGCTAAGCTAAGCTAAATGTTTCCTGCCTTTAGCTTGGTCGCACAGATGTAACAGTGGTATCAATCTTCTCGTCTAACTCTCAGCAAGAAAGAGAATCAGCTTTCTGACAAGCCACAAGTGTCTTTTAGTTGCTGCTTTATGAAATGTCTTCGTAACATTTTGATCTATGACGTGATCGACATGTGGACGTCAAACACTACTGAACAGAAGATATAAAAGATCTCTTTCACCGTGCAGTTTATAAAAGTTGGACAAACCTTTTCTAGCTTGAACAGGTTGGTGGACAGTTCTCCGTAGATCTCAGCGTTCACTTCATCCTGAGACCTGCGGCTCACTGCGTTCCTGCAACGAGATTTGCACTAAATCATCAACCAAATCGTGTGTTTTAAACCAAATGAAATGAAAGCAGCACGAGTGGATTTTGTGACTGTGACACCGGTGACTTTAAGGAGAAACAGAAACGTGCATCAGGCTCTTACTCGTTCCGAATGTTCTCCCCCACCGACACCAGGGAGTTCAGGCGATGCTCCAGAGCCACAATCTTGAAAGCCATGTAACAGGAGGACAAGACAAGAACACCGACTCTGTTCAGACACACAAACGCAGCCGAGGATGAGCTTTCAATCTCTAACCACACAGAACAATCGCTGACACGCCCAAATAATGGAAGTAAACGCTCGTCTCGTCAGACAGCTCCGGGTTCTTGTATTACCACATGATGACAGGACACTCACAAAACCAAATAGATGAGGAGGATGGCGTGTAGCGACACCGACTGTGAGGATTTGTCTCCACGGGTTGGTTTGGCTGAACCTATGAACAAAAGAAAAACAGAGAAATATTGATTTGGTCATTGCTAAAACTTTTACACCATTTTACAATTTGGAAACAGATGAATTTTGGGGGAAAAGCAAAGCAGAGAAAAGAAAAGAAAAGAAAAGAAAAGAAAAGAAAAGAAAAGAAAAGAAAAGAAAAGAAAAGAAATTCGTTTATTAGTCCCATAGTGGGGAAATTTGCAGCGTTGCAGCAGCAAAGAAAGAAAGAAGAAAAAACTACAAAATGTCATTATAAAATACTTAAAAACAAGATCAATAGTAGATAATAACACAATATGTGCAATTAGATTTTTAAATACAACAAAGATAGCAGCAGGAAGGGGAAGAAAAGTTCACGATTAAGGAAAATAGAAGAGAAAAAACAGTGCTACTCGTGTGGCACCATCTTGAAAGCCACAATATGTCGTTTTTATGCTTCTTGTTTTGTGCAGATTAAACGACTGAGATGTAATTAGTTAATTAGTGAGCTTTAGAGATACTCGTAGGTCGATTTTGTTTCCTTTAGACATGACCAGGCGAGCTGTTTCCCCCTGGTCTTTATGCTAAGCTAAGCTAAGCTAGGCTAACCAGTTGCTGGAGTGGTATTCATCTTCTCATGTAACTCTCAAAGTATTCCTTCAAACCGACACATGAGTAAAGTGTCAGTGTGATTCTTGGCCTCTAACCGATGTTTCCATTGATTCTGAATTCCTTCTGGTGAACGCTGAAACTCAAGACGTCGTTGAAGTACCGTTGTTGAGGGCGGCTCTGTGTTTTTGGCCCGGAGTCTGCAGGTGGATGTCGGCGTGGACCGAAACCTCTCCGCTCTTCACTGCGCTCAGAAACGTGTCGGGGAGGCCGCCGAAGTCTGCTCAAGGAAACAAGAGAGAAACCTGTGACTCGAGCCCCGAGTAAATATTGACATCCTGACAGAGCGACGTGGTTTCTGAGTGAGCTGGAAAAAAAAAAAACTGGCTCCATATTGTGAATGACACGAACAAAAAAACGGAAGATTTCTTTCATTATTCAACAGGAGCATCACTGTTTTCTTGCCAAATGTCTCCACAATGACAAAAAGCAAAGTCTCCATGGCTCAAATTTCACTTGGCTTCTCTCCAGCTCTCTGCAAACGAAACACACCGACTGACACCGGACACACCCTGAGCACAGGAGCGAAGGGAGGCTAAATGTGAGCAGTAGATTAACGTATAAAGCGTCTTTGCACTCAGGGGGAAAGACGAGGATGGAGCACACACCGGTTAGTTTGTCATAGTCTGGAGTCTGAGACCCGGAGCTGCTGCTCTCCATCATCTCCTGCCGCCGCTGCTGCACGACGCCGTCCAGGTCGGAGAAGTCTCTGGAAAAGTCCTGCACGGGAAGTTATAACACGGAGACCACATACAGAGTGAGCGAGGAGTTTCTATAAGAGCTTTTTATCACAATGGAAACGTTAAAGAGAAATTATCTTCATGTCAAAGAGCACGGACGCACTGACCAGAGGAAGCGCCGACGGGCAGTTCACTCTGAAGCTGCTGTCACAGGACGAGGTGACGGGGCTGTTGCAGGTCTTATCCACCTGGAGAGACAGTTCACACATTATAGCAAGAAGAATATACAGAAGACATTTTTCTTTTTTAAAGCAGAATTAAGAGATTTCTTTTGGCCACTTGTGGGCAGCAGAAAAAAAAAAGTTGATTAATACTCTGTTTCTATGTTTCAGACCTGCTCTCGTCTTCACCTGACGGTCTCACTACAGCGAAACATGCAATCAGAAAACACTGAATCCTGTTGGGATGAAGTGGTGTGACTGACCTCCAGGTGGATGCAGATGGATCTCAGGAGTTTGTAGGTGGTGTTTCGAGACAGGAGGGACACGAACACGTGCTGGAAAACAGCAGTTTACAGTCACTCGCATGTTTACGTCACAGGAGGAAAAACTGATCGTGTCGACGATCCTCTCACCTGGTCACTTGTAGTTTCAATCACAAGAGCGTTTGGCACTAATAATGCAGTTTTGGTTTTCTTGATGAATGTCACGGACACCGCTGGGATTGAAATCTGCAGAGGAGAGAAAATGTGCTTCTTAATCTTCACCGGAGAATTCAGCCACAAAACACAAAGTCAAATCATTTCTTTGTCTCATGTTTCAGTGCGGCACCTTCGTGTCTCTGCCGAAGACTTTGGAGTGGAAACAGATCCAGTTATCAGAGACGAACATTTTGCCCTGATACAACATGTCTTTCTGCAGGGCACAAGTGTAACCTGTCCCCACACACACACACACACACACACACACACACACACACACACACACACACACACACACATACGTCACGTTAAAATGAACAGTCTAACGTTTCTGTGCTTCTCACATTCAGATAAAGACAAACACTTACTTTGTTTGAGTGACTCATCTTTGCTGACTTCCTTGAATAACTTATGATACTGAGCATTTGTCTTTGATAACTGCAAAAAAACAACAACAAACAGATTGTTTTTGTTCAGAAACTGCAAAAAAAAAAAAGTAAGAAAACTGTAAAATTTGTCAAAGTGGAAAGTGTTGGATCAGAATGTGTGTGTACCTGACTGGGCTGCGATTTCTTCCTTTCAAACTTAGTTTCAAAGTCACTTGGACTCAGCATCGGTGAAAGCTGCTCCACAGGTTTGAGTCTGAGGGAGGAGAGGTCAGTGTTTACGGTTAAGGTGGTGTGGAAACACCTGAGGAGGACAGGTGAGGCGGTCCTCCGGTCCACGCAGATTTATATCATCAGACAACAGTAACTGCCAGTCGTGCACGCTCTCACCTGAGGTTACGCAAGAGCTGCTTACACAGCAACAGCAGATCTGTCAACAGCACCTCAGTCATACAGGTGTACAGCAGTTAGGAGGAATCATAGAGCTGGACCGCACAGAGAGGATCCAGAGGCCGAGTGCTTCACATTCGTCTTTTAGATTATTCTCTGCTATGTGTGTAAATTAATTCTCTACGTCTACTTTAGTTTGTAAACTCACTTCTCTCAAATTCCTTCTCGAGGGACAAAAAAAGTTTTTTTTTTAATTGAATTGAAAAATTAAGTAATTTTACCTTTTTTTTTAATGTAGCACAAATAGAAAATGTGTTTTTACGTCTGATAACTAAAGTACGGTTCAGAGCGTTTAGAGAATCTGCAGTTCGTCTCAGTGCTTATAAATATTTACATTTCCTCGTGTTTAAACCTGCAACTAACAATTATTTCCATTAACAACTAATCAGCTGATTATTTTCTCGATAAATTCATCTTTGAATATTTTTTTTTTTGTATGTTGTTGTAAGAAATTTATTTAAAGTATTATAGAGCATAGAAAAACAGATCATCCTCACACTGGAGAAGCTGGAACCATCACTTCTTGGTGACACTTTACTTTAACCCCACTATACTCCTGTTTATAATCAGTATCCTATAAAGTGTGTGTATGCAGGTTATTAATGGAGGCTGGTGTATAAGCAGATATAAATGATAATACAGTAAAACACAGTTGTAATAATATAAAATCTGTCTTCATAGGAGACGTAATAAAGTTTTAAAGTGTTACCAGTTTGTTGTATGAGCAGGACGATATGAGCTTCCTCACCTCTTGCTGGCTGGTTTCTTCCTGCTCTCTGACGGCTCGGACTCTGTGTCCAGACCCAGGTGGAGGTCTACAGGTGACCGTCCTCGCCTCCTCTCACCCCCATTCTCCACCTCAGACCTGGACACAGGAAACAAGACACTGTTCTCTCTCTTTCAGTCTGTTGACATGTTCTTTCTTGTTTCTGTTTCTGCAGTATACTTTTGTTTTCTTTGTATTTTTTTACTCATTTTATACATTTGTTTCAGTAACTTTTATCTATCTGAATGTCCTTTGATCAGCACTGCAGTTTGTTTAAAATGTGCCGTAGAAATGAACTTGACTCGACTCTTTTCCTAAAGACTGTCAAACTTGTCCTAACACATTCACTTTGCAGGAGTGGTCTCCTTCAACACACACACACACACACACACACACACACACACACGACACATAACATCTCTCCAAGTCATGCATACAACAGCCAAAGCTAAAAGACAGTCTTTACCATTCATTACTGGAATGAAAACTTTTGTCTTCTGTAGTTTCTAAATGCAAATGAAGCCTCTCTGGTTCTATTCCGTGCCACGTACGCGCCACACTCATCCAGTGAAAACAACACAGCCCTTTAATTCAAATACATTGTTTGAAGCAGGATATGCATGCAAAATAACCACAATGCATTAGGCCTGAATCGCCTCCTCTCAAGCTGGAAGGCGAACCCGGCCCTTCCTCTCCATCTCATCCACACTCACGTCGAGCGAATCCCGCGGGAGTCCCTGCTGGAAAGTTGCTCCGGTGTAGATAACGGGGTCAGAGGTCTGTCCGCCTGCTCCGTCATCAGTACCATCTTTTTACATTTCACAGCACATCTCCCGACACCGCTTCCCACCGCCGCCCTCGTTCCCTCATGTGACAGAGGAGCTCCAGGAAGCCTGGAAACGGAAAGTTTGGGAAGATCGCTCGATGGCCCGAGAAGCCCGACAGAGGAGGAGCCGGGAGAGGCGGAGGGAGGAGCAGGGAGCGACACCAGGAACTACAGGGAAGAAGTTTGAACCCCTGTTACAGGACTAAACCTTGCAGATACAGTTTCCCCTGTAATAACATAGTTACAGTGGGGGAATATCATTTTCCTAACGCACACAAATATGAAAATAAATCACTCACAAGGTTGAATTCTGCGTAAAATCTTTGCGTAATAAGCTTAAAGTAGCTCGTTTCTACGTCACTCCATTACGCAGTATCTCTGTTGATCTACTTCTTTTAACTGTTTTTGGACTCACTTCACATTATCTGTCACAACACAGTGCGACAGAGAGAGAGCTCCAGCAGGGGGCAGCAGAGTCTAGATGATGTCATGTCTGAACTTTTCAGGTGAGTTTTACCCTCAGGTAACCCCTGGTATCAGTGATGGAAACTTAGAGCGACTTCATACTTTTACGTCACTACAGCTCAGAGAAAGAGATTGTACTTTTTACCCCACTGTATTTATTTAACAGATACAGGAACTAGTTACATTTCAGATTAAGAGTTTACATAAAATATATGATGAGATTACAAAATAAAAATGCATCTTTAAAGATTAAACCCAATGTTTTTGCTTCAGACATTAGTGAAATATTTCTCATTAAACTTTTATTAAACTGTTCGAGGCCCAAACAGGAAGTGAAATGATCCAGTGTTTTAACACAAAGCAAAGATTAGAGAAAAGTATAAGGAATACATTTTTAAAAATTCTCCCCCTCTCCCATTAATCGTCTCCCGACCCCTCAGTTTTATCTTCTGATCCTCTGGAGGGGCCCGACCCCGAGGTTTGGAACCGCTGGGCTGAAATATTTAAATATATATAAAGTAGTTCAAACCAGCTCCAACAATATAATGACAAAAGGTGGAAATGTTCCTGCAGAACAACTACTACTGGACTTTTACTTGTTATGAAGTATTTTTAACTTCTTGCACCACTGACAACAAACCTGAAGTACCACAAATAAAAGTTATATTAGTGTTATGTATAAATATTACATATTTTATCATTGGATTAATATTATTGATGCATTAATGTGTAAGATGCATTTTTTATTTTTATTTTATGGCAGCCTTACGTCACCAGCTGGAAATAGTCCAGACGTCTTGTCCATCATATTATACACATAATAACAAACTGCTGGTTAAAGGTTTAATTTAATTGTGTATATATTGTTATTTTTCTATAATAGATGTTGAGCCTGCAGCTGGATTACTTTTACAGCCAAAAGAACCAAAGTTTGACTGAATATAAAACAAGTATTACATTTCTGAAACTTCCACAAACACATTGTTAGACTGATGTCGGAAACCTGCAGCATAAATAAGTAAAACATGTTTCTGTTCTCGAGTTTACTGCAAACGTCATAAAAGATACAAGGACACGCTTCGACCCCCAGGAGTCGCTGTTGCAGCATTTAACGAATCATCAGTCCAGAGTTTTGCACCAGACTTGTCAGAGTTCATTAAGTAAACCAGGAGACAATGGCGCAGCCAGCACTGCGAGCTAGCAGCTAGTTAGCGTGTCATTAATCATGGCTGACAGGGAACAAGGGGTTAAAGAAAGCTGCCAGAGTCTCCGTGAGTCATTTCAAACTGCAGGATAATTCACAGAGAAGGAGACGAGGAGATCACGTCCGTTCACTCTTCACATCTCCAAATACATATTTTCATAATTACTGCAACTCATCGACTACAATTAAAGTCAAAACAGACATTTCCAGCTACTATTTCAATTCCTGAAAAGAACTACATAATAATTTGGTGCTAATTATACAGAGAATAGTTGGTACACTTAATTTATGCTGATTCTGAATATAGAGATTTGTCAACAAGCATGAAAACAATTCAACATAAATGGAGTAATAAATATTCCAGTAAAAAATGACTTCAGTTTAAATAAAGAAATTTCAAGGAAATTACTATTTTGCCATAATTTTCACCAGAGTACACGAGAACCTTTCTAGGAAATAATTAGGAAATTACTGACCCTAACCTGTAAAATAAAGTTGCTAATGCTAATCCGCTACGTCTTAATAATGTCTCCAAAAGTTTCCTGGAAAAAATCATGTAATTTGGTGCCAATTACACATAAAATGGAAATAGTTCAGTTAGTTGTGTTAAGTTTATTATTGACCTGCAGATGAATTTCCTTGAAAGAAATTACTCAATTTAAACCCCAGTGAATATTTATTACCCACTAATTTATTACTGGAAACTTAATTCTTCATTTATACTGAATTTTATGGATATTTGTTCATTTGTCGACACATTTCGAATAGTAGAGACACGTGTAGCTCACCTTCTGTCTGAATAAAAGTCACAATGTTGTGTTAGCTTAGCATTTAGAAATGCTTCTTATAATTACAACCACATTACACGGTTCTCTCTTGGACACTTCTTAGGAAATTATTTAGAAATAAATTGGAATTTATGGATCCCTTAAATAAAGAGTTACTATAATAAATATACAGGAGTAAAAAATACAATATCCTCCTCTGACACATGGTGAAAAGTATAAAGTAGATTTAATTTTAAATACTGGAAAGGTTTCAGAGGAGCTTATAGGTGTACAGACAGAGCCAGGCCAGCTGTTCCCCTCTGTTTCCAGTGTTTATGCTAAGCTAAGCTAATGCTCTCCGGCTGTAGCCTCATCTTCAGCGTACAGACACGAGAGTGGTATCAATCTTCTCGTCTGACTCTCGGCAATAAACTGATTAAGTGTTTTTCTATAACTACTCCTTTAAAGCCTGGTAGGAAGAGTTGATTTTTATCGAGCGTCAGCTGATGCCCGTTGCATTGTGGGATTTACTTTCTGCTGCCTTTGGCTCCTGAGAAACATCTCCTTCTGTAGGCAGAAGGCTTTTCAGTGCCTGTCAGATATTCCACCACAGAGAGACGTAGAACAAGGAAGGCATAGAGAAAGGGTGGGGGGTGCAGTGTGTGTGTGCGTGCATGTGTGCGTGTGTGTGTGTGTGTGTGTGTGTGTGCGTGAGGGAGAGAGAGAGAGTGCAAAAATGGTACTTGTGACGGGGGAAGATTGAAGTCCTGTTAAGTGCTCTGCTTGAAAGCATGTCTGGCCTCATTAGCTGTCAGTTGTAACAATACTGAACTGGCAGTGAAGACAGGTTGGAGTCTCGTGGTCATAAATCACTCCTCGACAGCTGCCTGACAAGCTGGGAACCAGTACACAGGCACGGGCGCCCTCTCCACCTCGACACTGCACAGGCACACAGCCGTCTCAGATATCATCGCCCTGAAATTACCTGGAAAACAGAAATGCGGGAGATTGCTTTCATTTCACGTCTGCATACATGTGTCGTGAGCCCTCATCTCCCGTGTGTGTCAGTCTGTCTGTCCATTAGCTAAACGAGCAGCGGCTGCAGTGACTTCTCCGAGGCGGAGGGGGGGGGTAAAGAGCGAGGCCTGCAGGTCATTAATCATGGCCCCTGACGTGCAGAGCAGGAGGCCAAGGCTCCCCTATGCATACAGCTGCCGGGCCACACTCAAAGCACAGGCGATGTGTTGACCCTACACCCCCCCCCCCAAACTCCCAACGCCTGTGGCTCTCATCTGTCCAACTCCCTCACTGTTTGTGTCAGTCATGAGAGCTGTCAGGCCCCGCCTCCTCCCGACCAACCGCAGCACTCTCCACGCCGACTCCTCTTATCGCTGAGTCGACTTTTCATCTGACCCAGATTAGACAGCGACAACGAGCTGAATATATTTTTTAAACATTTTTAGCCTCATTAGCAACACGGCCTCCGTCCAGACTGAAATATCTCATTCATGCTCCCCTCAGGATGAACTGTAATGACCTCTGTGATCCACTGTGGTTTCCTCTAATTTGTGGTTGTCAATGAAAACCCTCAACAACTATCTGATGGATCGCCACGAAACCTTCCACAGACATTCATGTTCTCCTGAGGATGAATTCGGACTCACAGTGACCTTGACCTTTGACCTTTGACCACCAAATTCTAATCAGTTCATCCTTGACGCCAAATGAATGTTTGCGCCAAATTTGAAGAAGTTCCCTCAAGGCGTTACTGAGATATCGCCGTCACAAAAACAGGAGTCATAATAATCCTAACTGCAGAATTTCTTTACAGGCTTTTTCCCGGAGCTTTCACCTGGACGCCACAGCCTGGGGAGAGCTAGTAAGTGGACCTTGAGTTAAGATTTTACTACTGTCTCCAAAGTCAAGAATGAACTTTCGCCCTCAAAATAATTGTTAGTTGCAACTCGTCTTCATTTGTGCTCCAGCTCCACATTCCTGTGACTGTACGTCACGCTGCAGCGAACGGAGACACTGTCCGAACGGAGACACTGTCCTCCACGTCCAAACACATCAAACACCCAAAGTCCCAAAAATCCCAAAATGTGAGAATCCAACGTGCCATCATCCTCGCTCCCATCCGCTGACATAACGTCACCCGCAGACCCGCAGCTGCTTGCATAATGATGAAAGCCAGTGAGGCTGCGAGACACTGAAACACTGTTTCATCATTCACAGCCACTAAATCACGAGTCCAGACATCTGCTGAAAGCCGATTCCTTATCAGCCTTCCAGCGAGATTTGGGGAACATCTGGAGTTTCTGAGGACTTTGGCACCGCGCTGGGCCGGAGGACTCACAGAGAAGGCTAATTTTCCGGGATGTGTTGACACTTACACGGTCGACCAGGTGATCTATTGCAGCGTAAAATGTATTCTCAATGAGTCTGTGTGCACATGAAGGAAACCAGAAAAAGATGTCTGAGGCTGCTTTTCATAAGAAGCTGACACATTTGAAATTACAGGAAACATTTTTCCTGTAATGAAACATTTAACGTCTCCGTTACTGTTGTTGCACCTGTTGTCAAGCTTCTCAGTCCTGACGCCGGATTTCAAATAACACTGAAGGA